ATTGTTCGAGATGTTAATCCCATTATATTAAAAGTAATATTTTGCAATAATAATAGTAAAAATAACAATAATCTTGTAAAAGGTATCCCAATCCGTTACCTTGTGCTTGACAACCAAAACAAGCCAAAAATGCAAGAAACAAGAAGGTATTAATAGTTTTTTTCATTTTCTAAAAAATTGAAAGAAAACATGGTTTCATAAGTACACATTTTCTCTTTTCTATGCCAGACATACTTTAATTTGTAAGACATTACCAAAAATTTTGAACAAATTTAGCTCGTCGACCAATCTATATCTGCAATTGTCAATAACTTATAAATTAACGGCAATGACTTTATTATAAAGGGAATTATATCCCTTACACGTACTGAACAAACGATAAAAATTAATGCACCATTTCCCTGTAAAATTTATTGCGACATATAGTAAATGTGCTCGCATAAACAGTTTGCCATTGAGAGACAAACTTGACTGGTTCCTCAAAAGATCTTACGTGTGCAGTTTCAAACTACGCCTTTTGCATTACTGTTGCAAACAAACTAGCGTAAATACCACCGTAGAACAAAGAACAACGGTATTGAAGATACTAAAACATATTTTTCTTTATTTTAGAAAAAAAGCATCCATCACTTATCATTCAATTGATGTAAATAAGATATAATAGGAATACTAATTACAGCAATGTACCTATATATAGCTACTATTATTAACACTTTTTCAGCTTTCAATTCGCTTTTAAATAGTTTCTGCTTGTAAATCCCGGCCAGGCGGGATGGAATCCCGGCCAGGCGGGATGGGATCCCGCCTAGACGGGACGGGACATTCTCATCCCGCCTAGACGGCCTAGACTAGTGTTTATATGGACAAAATACATTGCCGGGATGAGGCCATTTGAGTGCTTGACGCCGTATTTTTGTTGCAATAAATACATTTACGCATGCTCAAAAGGGAAACGTTCATCCCGCCTAGCCGGGATGAAGTGTTTATATGGGAATTTTTCATCTCGTTTAGGCGGGATCCCGGCATCTGTTGCCGAGATCCCGTCTTTTAAATACCAAAACTAGGAGCCTTACTATAAAAGTCCAACAGGATTTCCTTAAAGTCCCAAGCCCATTAATGCATGTCTTGTAACTATTTTTTAACTACTTTTAAATATTTACTGAGCAAAAGTAAACTAAAATAAAATAATATACTGATAAGTCTAGTTGCATTATATTCCATATTTCGAAAAAACAAAAATGACAAATTGTCATTTTATATGTAAATTGAAAATATAATTCTCAACTGACTTCATAATTTTACCTGTTTGCATCCACAAAGAAAAACAGCACGTACCTCAGTTTAAAGGTTGCATGGAATGTTTATCGAGATGAACTTAATGATTAGCCGCGAAATTAATCAAATCCAAATAACTGTTTGACCGTTATAGTGAAACATTCTTATAGAAACAGAGTAGAGGTTGTTAATAATTATAAACCTGCATGCCTGCATGTAAATGTAAAGAAGACAATTCATTCCTCTTGAAATTTCTAGTGGACCTTATGTATAGCTTCTGGGCTGATACATACATTTTACATAAATAATCAAAGATACACACCCTTAATCCCTGAAAGTACTTATATAGCTAAAGTTTTGGCAATTTGGCAAGCCCTTGTTTCCGATGACTTAATCACATAAAGGTTTTTATATGAATCAGTATCTAATTTAACTGTCATGACTGAGTTTTACCATGATTTGGAGGTGAACCGTAATTGATATCCTATACAGAAAATCGATGCCAAATGCATAGTTTTTATGTGATCATGAAGCAAGGTAAACATCAAAGCCACTGGACATCGATTTTTCATTGGATATCAATTGCGTGTTCACCGACAAATTATGGGATTATTTAATGGTTTTGTCCCATAAAAGTGGTTAATATTATTATACCATGATCGAGTAAAACGGGATAATAAAATTTAAAAAAATACTAAAACAGGAATAAACAAAAATCGGTGAGCGGTTTAGCAAGAATTAAAGAAGAAACTTACATGAAACAACCTTCGGCTCTGCTTAAGCTTTCTATTTTCGCCTAAATCCTATAATTTCAACGATGGATCAACAACAAATTTCTTTGTCCTCATGATATATACTTGCAGCTATAATAACAGGGATCTAGTCCGGCATCTAAATATTTATAATATATATGACAGTCATATCACTACTATAAAAAGTAATGTTTTCCGGTTGCAATCTGCGAGCTTCCCAGCTCAGAAAATACGGCGTGCGGCTGAAGTAGTTTTACTTTTTCGATTTTTTCAGTTTCTTTCTTTGGTTTGGAAAAGGTTAGGGAAAGAGTTAGAGAAAGGATTAGGGATTGGATTAGGGTAGGGTAGGGTCAAGAATGGGATTATGCTTGGGGTTAGAGGTTAGAGTCGGGGTTAGATTAGAGTTAGAATTCAACATGAGTCGCGAGTCTATTGTATCAATAAATTCGGACGTGTTAACAGTATATATTCATTTAATAAATTCAAAGGCGGAGCTTATGCTGCATATATTTTTTCCGTTTCCTGCGTTGTTTGAGTGCGTACTTGAGAGAAGCACATTGTTAATGGGGAGGAATTACGTGATTCATCCAAAACACTACAAAAATACTTAATCGATAAACATTACATATTTGGACGTTTGAAACTTGAAATACATAGTATACATCATATAGTTGAAATGCCTATACTAAAAATTATGTAAATCACTTAAAATCAATCTTCATATACATATTATGTAACTGACATACACATTAAATTTCGTTGACTGTAATTAAAGACAACTAGCGTTTGTATATCGATGTATAAGATCGATGTATAACAACTTAAATAACAACCTGTCAAACCCAAAACACCGTTATACTTTAACCCAAAATATTTACCTTAAGTGTACCCCACAGTTAACAATAAGATTCTGAACGCGTATCAATATATATATATGGTGACAGACGTGTAAGCTTTCCGTACGACAATTTTTCACATGGCAAGTTTTATTTGCTCGTCTGTATACGCAACGTAGCCAAATTTTTCTGTGACAACTCACGAGTGCACTTGTTCGAAAGCATACATGAAAAAATTGGCAAAGTAGGTACAAAATTTCGGTTGACGGTTGTATCTGATAATATACTTTCATAACAAACATTTCGCATAAAAACACAACATTTCACAAGATATAATGACTTACTTCGTTTAACAGAAGAAATGGAGTTGTTTTTCAATAGGATTCCGATAAATATGGGCCAATACAAATTAAATCTTGGATATCAGGTATAAATATCTCAAGACTGTAAGCCATTTCTGGGAAGCCAAGCGCCCAAAGGATCACTGGCATGACACCCACTCTTTAAGAAAGAAAATTTGACAAAGAAATAATGAGCACTTGGATCCGGTTGTAAAGTGCCGCAGCCCCCTCCATCCCCCACGCAATCATTTTGGAGCCCCCAGTAAATTAAAAGCCCCTTTTCTCTAAAATATAAGCAAAATATTGGGGGGGGGAATTGAAATTTGGAAGGGAGGTTTGATATTCTAGTAACTGAAATTTGCTCTGTAATGTCTTTTATGACATGTCATGTCTTTTATCTTCAAATGATTCAATGCCTTTTTAAAAATGCTAAACATTGTGTTGTAAATATACCTTAGATTTTAAAAATTTCCAATTGACCATTTGCGTAATAGACTAAATTTTGATCTCTACAAAAATATCATTATAGCTTGAGCATCACAAAATTAGTAATATTCCAAAGTTTCGTTGCAAAATGTTGTAAAATGCGGAAAATATAGCCTTGC